GTAACGTTCCCACCTCATGACTCAAGGTACGCGGGTTCAAACCCGGCAGAGGTCGTCGAATTTTTAAGGGCGGAAAAATTTAGGGAACAAGTCCTCTAGGAGGGACTTTAAGCTGTGTCCCGTGTCGTAGATTTACAGCACGTAAAAGATCCTGTCTCTAGGAGACCTCTGAGCAAAATTAGGCAAAGTTTCCTGCCCCAGTAGTTTCCAATTCCTCCGGTAGATGCGGAAGNATGACTCAAGGTACGCGAGTTCAAACTCGGCAGAGGTTGTGTAATTTTTAAGGGCAGAAAAATTTAGGGAACAAGTCCTCTGGGAGGGACTTTAAGCCGTGTGTCCCGTTTCGTAGATTTATGGCACGTAAAAGATCCTCATGTCTCTAGGAGACCTATGAGCAAAATTAGGCAAAGTTTCCCGCCCAAGTAGTTTCCAATTCCTCTGGTAGATGGGGAAATATTGGGGACCACTGCCAGAGAGGTGGCTGACCTCGCCGGCAGAATGGGGTTGATAGCAAGCACCAGTACTGGAAGGGCATGGCGACTGGTAGAATATTAAAGGGGGACGCACAATAGATTAATAACTAGTTGCAGTGCATGGGGAAACCCACCCCCTCCAAAATAATAATAATAAATAATAAGTATAGTGCGCTTTGTTTCATATTTATAGCTCTGGTACTTTCAGACAGTTCAAAAGTATGTCCAAATTTAGAAATAATCTACACCCTCTGCACCCAAAAATGGGTATGCAAACGGTCACTTCATACTGCTGAGTGTGCAGTGCAGGTTTGCTACACTAGATTAATCGTATCTGAATGAAATGAACATCATATCATAGCAGCATGTTGACAGGATTCCAAAAAGATCTTAAAATATGAAATGGGTGGGAGGGAACATAGGGAAGACCTCAGAAAGGATTCTCTTTTGTTATCCCCATAACATCCCCACAGGCCTGATACTGGAAAGGATGATGAGTATTAAATTAACGTCAAAGTCAATGAGATATGCAGAATAAAAGTTAAGTGCAACTTGCATTTAAAGTGCCAAAAATTTATTTGACTTTCTATACATTTTTGCAGATTCAATTATATAACTGACACTTTCAGACACAATAGTTTGAAACATGAGAACACTCTGATTTTGCTGTTGCAATATTTGAGTAAATCACTGTATAAGAGCTGTGACTTACCTTACAGTTCTTCATAAGTTATGTGAGAGGACAGCTTGGCAATGCAATAGACTGATGAGGAAAAGAAGCCCAGGATAGAGGTAGAAGTAGAAGTAATCATAGGACTTCATGACAATCAACTGTTGGATATACAAAACAATTTTGTTACACTCAGCAAATATGCATGGGGAACTGGTCTCTCTTATTGCATGATCTACATTATGGACATACATTAGAAAACAGTTGTACATTTCTCAAAAATATATGCAGGTTTAAGAAATGTGCACACTTAAATAACTCCAGTAATAACTATTAGTTCTACACTGATACATGATTACTGTCAAGAATCATTTTTCTGCAGTGTAACATAAATTTGTTTGAAGTTATATCCAGAAATAAACAAGTACTTTAAACAAGAGAATAAAGAAAAAAATGTAAATTCTTCATTCAAAGTCTTTTTCAAAATATCAAGATATAATTAGTGAATACTTCTGGTGAGAATAATAAAAGAATATAAAATAGATTCAAATTTCATCAAATTAAGAGGAATATTATGGAACAGAGAGATCCCAAAACAATTCAAAACAACAATCTACAAAGTATGTATAATGTGCGAAGACATGCATCTCAATATACACACTCATGAATGAATAACTTCTCTACTTTCAATGTGGAATTATTCCTTTGACAGGAAAAATAATACTCTGTATTTCATTTTGGATTCTGTGTCATAACTTTCATTTAGGTTCACACTGATAACTATAAATGGATTAAAAAGAAAAGCAGCATTAGTTACATATACATCCCTTTAGTTTGTGGTTTCCAAGACTTCTCTGAAGATGGAGGTAGCAGGTTTCTCCTAAACACTGATAACCCCCTACCAGGCTATGAAGTGGCATAATACTAAGTGTACTGAGAAAATTTCAAATTTCACATAGACCTATATCTCAGTATTCACTTCTAACACTTAGATGTTATCAGCAGTGAAGGCAATAACAAAGATTTTCTAGCTGTATAGATATGTTACTTCTTAACCCAATAAGTAGACTTGCCTTATGAAACAGTTCTGTATAATGCTTTCTTGCAGGGAGGACAGGCTTATGGAACTAGTCCATCTTCTCAGCATAGTATTTGGTGTTGATTTTTCACAGAAATAACCCCAGCCTTGATGCACCCAAAAACCTCAAGCACAGTGGGTTAATATGCCTTGAATGGAATATCACAGATATTTATGGATAGTGGTAAATTAAACTTCTGATTAAATGGGTAATGGTTAAAGATTAATGTTATGTCCATGGAAAATAAAACCTAATACCACATGCCAGTGTGCACAGATTATCCTACAAGTAGGTGCATTTTTATATATTTATCCATGCAGCCCAGCTTTATATTCTTTGTTCACTATCTCAAAAACTACATAACATTTACAGAAAATATTATTCAACTCATTAACGGCTATAGCTTCCATCTGAAACAATTTGGAATTATGAAATATCTACGAATGCTTGGCTAGAAATGTACTCTGGTCTTCAAGAAATGTAGTATTTCATGTTGGTGAATTTAAACCCAAATTAAATGTGGTGTAAATACAGTAGAACTTGGTTATAACGTCATCAAAGGGACCTAAAAATAGTGTCGTTATAAACGAATGTCGTTGTAACCGAAATGGGCACTTCCACAGTAGCCATATGTTAGTCACGTAAAAATCTACCAAAAACCGAGTTAAAATGTTGCATTTTTTAGTGAAATACGTAGTTAAGTACAGACTAACGTAACATTAACGTGGAATTGCCCAAATGTGTAATATCAAAGACATATTACAGCGCCTTTCACTGACAATACACACCGCACTAATACTGTATATTAAAGGTAGGCCTACTCACCAAATTACAGTAGATTACATCAATTGTTGTGCCTTACTGTACCTAGATACGAGTATAGTAATCAGTTATCTTCATCTGTTTCCTGTTACTTGCCCAATACACACTTTCTAAATTACGTTCAATGTCCATATCAGAGAAATTCAGGAATGAAAATGACGTTACATACGAGGTTGATGCATTTGTGCATGTCGTACTAAGCAAGGTATAAAAACAGTTGCTTTATGAGGAATTAGTTTGTACCATTGAATATTTGACGCAATAGACAAGGTGTCGCAGAAACCGATGTTGCTATAACCAAGTTTTACTGTATTGTAAAGATGATTCTAAATACAAAACTTATCGAAATCCTTAGTGTCAATAGTGTCACTGAAAATAAGACATGCAGCACAACACATAACAAGGGGGAACACAACCCACCACATCAAACACGCATGTGCACCAAGGGAACTTACATATATAACAAAACTTAAGCAACAACAGAAGACAGCAGTTTCCTTGTCCAATAATTTTAACACCTGATGATGACCACATTGGTTGAAACATGTAGTGTACAACTCTTAAAGTGAATGTCTTTTAATAAATTTTATACAACTTTATTGTTGCATGTGAGATTGTGAAAAACTAAATGACACAAAGTAAAAAGTGCAACAGGATGTTACAAAATGCTATTCATCAAAATAACTTTAACCAGATCAAAACTGTTATAGTGAAGACACTTTGCAGAACATCCCTAAAGTGGAGGGCAAAATTAAGGAGCATATCCTCTTTGACTTGCCTCATCCTGGTCCATCACACTAGCAATAGTACAAAATAACTCATAGCACTGTCCGGTGTGACTGATTAATAAAAGTTGTATATCAATTTCTCACTTTCCTTAACATGTTTTGGTCAGACTGACCATCTTCAGAAGGTTGCAATCAACATTTAGGAAACCATTATTACAATGTCATTAATATATAAAAAAAATGATACCTTATAACAGCCTACACTGTTACAAGGAGTCCCATTGCATGTTATCTTCAAAATACTCTTTAGTATCACTGAAGTTTCACAACATTTGTGTAGTGTATACAATGGGCATGGGCTGTAATGGATGACTTTCAAAATTGAATAAATTCTTAAAGCAAGAAAATTACGCAATAAGTTAAAAATGAGTGCTGTACCGTGTAAATATACCTCTAACAAGGATGTGTGAAGACAGATTTAAAGATGAACTTCCTCATACAAGTAAGTTACGCTTTCATGGTCACTCTCTCACCTCTCTTAACCATTCACCTGGATAACAGAATTCATATATTACATTTTTTAAGAGATTTGTAGCCAAGTATTTTCCAAGATTCCAAATAAATTTCCCCCATCATAAAAGAATTTTAATTCACATACCATTAAACATGTATTCAAGTATTTGAAACTGTGTGTAGTTTGGAGACATCCCAATATCTCAGAAAAACATATCACCGCCATATCTTCGTAGTGAGAGACTAAGCCAAGCAAGAAAAGGCAGCAAGGTGAGCTATAAACTATAGAGAAAGTGCTTTTCTGAACAAATAAATTTAGATGAGAATGAGTTTCAGATGAAAAAATCAAAATGAATGTCAACAGCATCAGTGACATATGGACTTCACTGTTAATTTCAGTTTTTTACTACAAACTTTTACTTTCCAAGTATATCCTTGATATAAACAGGTTTTATAAATCCAACTGGTAGATCATATTTGTAAGATGAAATGTATGAAAGTATTTTATGGAACAATGTGAACATATGGAAATGTAACACTTTAGAGGTGAAATATCTGCTATGTTTAAAAGAGGCAGGATATATTACCATACACACATTTTAGACATACCTGACAGGGGTAAGACTATACATTTCTGAATTGGGATAAGGGGGAGGGGCATTTTTGAGCATTATCTTTCATAACAGCAATTAATCTCAGCCAGTCACAGAATTTGCCAAAAACAGGCAACACAACAGCCAGGTACACTGGAATTCCTGAGTTCTGGTTATTTTGTATAAACTTACCTATAGCTGCAGAAAATTCACCAGTTACATAATTATGCTGAATTTGGCCTGGCAATGAAAATTAAAAATAAACAGGAAATGATGAATATGAGGATCTCACAGTATTTCTATGAAGAATGTGGCCTTCTGGGTTGTAATGCCATGAACTGTGGAATGAGTCTGACGTTTCAGAAGTACACATTACTTCCATCTTCAGCTGAGCTCAGCTTACTGCCTGTTCCTGTCGGGTTCCTTGCTTAGTTTACTTTTCTGCAGTGAAGATGGGGGCAATATGTTCCTTCAAAACATTGTGTTGCCTCCAAATTTCACTGTGTTACGACCCAGAAGACTCTACCCTTTATAGACATGGGTGGGAACCTCAAATACAACATACACTGACGATGTCTAACAGGGTGCTAAAGAAAATATTTGTACCTACCGGTGATCAGTTAACAGGAGGCTGAAAAAAAGGTATGTAATGGTTCAAATTGCCATTTAGATATAAAAACAATAATACATCACAAATTCCAGGGGGAACTGCAGATATACATAAAAACCTACTATAACCATGAAATATGATTCGCAACGTGTAAAAAAAATTCGGCATTTAAAGATACGGACAAAAAATTTGTATCTGGAAGTCAAACATTTCAAAGCATTAAACAGAAATTCTTCCACAAGCCAAAATACCGCGACTTTTTCTTATAATACACATATATATACAATACATATTTAAAATAATTCCTTACGATACATATGATCCACACTGCGTTCGACAATCCATGGCACTAACGTAAATCACACATAGAAGAATAATAGACCGTAAAGAAGCTAAAGAACACACCAACTAATAACTTCAGCGAATTCAGCGAGTTCTAACAGTCTTTCCTTCACGTGCTTCACATGGTCTCCCACATGCCTGCCAATCTTACGAATTCGAACACACAGCTATGGGCGCTATGGACTTTGAAATCATGGATTAATACTACACGCCACAGGCACAGATGACAGTACATGTTTCGACTTGACTACACTCCATTCGCGGAGACGAGAGAGTCTTCGTAAACAAATGAACGCGGTATCTCCTTCGCTGTTTGAATGAAATCATGTGATTTCACGTGATGCGTGTACAATTGCAGGGGCGTCCAAAGTTCACTCTTCAGTCTGAATGCAGGTAAACGTGCATCCGAATGCAGTGAGTACACTGAAGTAACTGCGCGCTTTGTCCACTCCTTGCTGTCAGCTGTGGCGACGCGGGGCTTGCTTTGTTTACGCTGTCTCGTCTCCGCGAATGGACTATAGCCATCATACGGTGAACAGGTTGTTGTGGTTAAGGATTGGGATGTTAATTAATTTGCTTTAATTAAGGTCAATTTAATTTAATCAGAACCTAACCTGAATCCGGACTCCTTTGTCTCATGAGAAATTCTTTCCTAAGCCCAATTTAATTTGTCCTGTCTAGCAGAGTCTGGGTGGGATTTATCATATATATATACCAGGCTCTTGCCCAATTAACTGCTCAAAAACAAAATTAGCAGCTTTGTCAACCTTATGTGCCATCTTAAGACTTGTGAATCACGGAAGCGAGTTGTAGAACAGGTGACACTAGGAAACCATGTGGCAACGCAATTGTGAAAAGACTGGCATGCTCTGCTGCCTGGAAGTTGAGTTTCTGAGTCTCCACGAGTTACACTGCCAATTCCTCAATTTTCGCTGCTCCATTCAGTAACATGTGTTCAACTCATTCTGATAACAATTCTAGGAAATTGCGGTTGCCAGTTTCCTTGGTGTGCCCTCACCCTAACTGATGTTACAGTTTGGTTGAGCTGAAACATGTAATGTCCAATAAACGAATACAAAGAAGGAATAGGGAGCAACGTTGCACACAGATGGCACAAGTCCTCCAAAAGTCAGATCTATACAGTGCAACGGGATGTTGAAATATAACACGGATGACTTAAGTGTCCCTAGTGCGGCATTTGAAACCACCTAACCATATTATGTGCCATAAGTACAAACCTCAATAGATGTTCATTAGTTCAATCAGAGCAGTTTCTCTGTGGTATTCACGCTCATAAATATTCTTCTTGTAGTTTCATGTGTTATGACATCCTGTTGCATTTTGCTATCTGAAGATGGAGGCAGTATGGTATAAAATGGTAAAGTTATCCCTGTCAATTAAGCACCACTCCATGAAGATGTATTTGGGAGTGCAGGTATAGTTCCACCATTCTTCACCTCGGTACTAGATGGAGGTGAGTAATCAGCTTCATGCCCCGGCTGCTTTGAACCTGGGGAAAAAACCCCAGGTACCCATTTCATAAGAGGTTGGGTGGGCCCCACAGCAGGCCTGGGTGTCTTTGAATAAAGAAAACTCTCTTGCCCTGCTGGTCTTCCAGGTGGTAAACCAACACTATACTGACTGAGCTATCCCGGCTCTGGAGGCAGCATGTTCCCCTGAAATGTTGGTTACCATCTAATAGACTATATGAAATAATACCTCAGACGACCACAATATTACAGCAATTTCCAGTTTACAGTTCTTAATCAGAGTGACAGTACTTCTAGGCTTTCGATGTGAACTGAGCAAGAGAATATACTGAACTTGAACAGAATGAAAATGATGATTCTAAATGGTACATGCCACAGGAATATTACTTCTGCACAGTTCATCTGATAAATACTACATCTTGCACATCACTATTACATTTCTTATTCACAACACCTGTAAATCTATGGCACACCATTTAAATTGAAGGCCATGCGTTTAAGATAGAAATCTGTTTGGCTAGTGATGCACAGAACGGGTTGGGCAAGTGTATACACCCTACTGTTAGGTGGGTCACATACAATGAAACCATTGTACCATACAAATACAGTATACAGTATAAAACTTAGGGGGGGGGGTAGTATTGAGTTTCCATCATCAGCCTTCTGTTAAAATCTGATGAAAAATAACTGGATAGAAATTCTAAATCTGTAGGAAATATTGGCAGTTTCAACAGATATGTCCCAATTTTTCAACTTTAAAGTTGGTACCTTTCTTTCACCAGCGTCTGGCTAAATGAGTATTATGATGGAGAAAAATGAATTTACTTAAAAACAATTATAATTATAAAAGACAAGTCCGTCCAATGTGACTATTTCAGTTATCTCACTTGATGATTCACTAGCCTTACATGTTTCGATCCATTTGGATCATCTTCAGAGGCACCAAACACTTTTTAGAAACCACTATCACAACAGTTGTCAATCAAATACACATGTAATGTCCAAGTACACAATGTTCCATCTATCAGTCACAGCAGCCTTTCTGGTTATAGAAATATTTAAAGTTGTTTTAAAGTTTTAAAAACTTTGTTAAAAATTAAAATTCATAAACCATATGGTTCATGTCAATAACCTCTGTCATCTCTCTTCAAGGTGGCCGATGTTGTGCCTCCTATGTAACTGAGTAGGGAGATTCTTAATATTGTCCGTTATGATTTCTTGGCCCGCTGTCACATTGGACGGACTTGTCTTTTATAATTGTAACTGTTAGTGTGACGGACCAAAATAAAACTAATCAAATTACTTAAAAACCTAAAAATGGGTAACTGGGTGAATGAAATTCATTCTTATGAGATTTGAAGCTTTCACAGTGGTAACTATAATGAGTATTAAGAAAGCAGTCTTCTGGGATTTGGCACCGTGTATATGTGGTGTTAACCGACGTTTCGGAGGAACGTATCGCCTCCATCTTCAGGGTAGAAGAAAAAAAAATATACGAAATCTGCAAGCAAAGAGACCGTGAGAGTCTGCTTTTACCGGTTCTCNGTATTGTCTACTGGGACTGATACCATACAGTCTGGCTTATTTCAGAGGAAAATGCTCTCTCTAGCTTCAGGGCACTCTTCTACTCTGATGATGGGGTCAGCACATTCCTCTCAAATACTGGCAACTATCTGATAGATTACATGATGTCAATCCCAGATGACTGTAAATTTCAGAATTCATTATTACAGGTTAAAACCCTTTGCCAAGTCACACAATAGAACTACCTGTTAGAAGTGCTACGGTTCTTTCAGTACAAATATAGTATGGCTGGCTCATTAATATTCAGGCAATTTATTTAATTTCTCAAATCAAGTTTTTATATTTGCACTGAAGAGATTTGATATATCAATGTTCTCTTTGAAATGTGTAAATTGATTAATTGATGTAGGTGATTGTATCTATGAGACTTGTGTAATTTTGTATGAACATTGTTAAATGGCCTATTTCCATGTCCTGGGTTGTACCTGTACATCGATACACAGAAAATGAATGAAAGGTTGCACAGAAACTGTGTTAACAGTACTTTCACAGATTACCTTTAAATTAGCACATGACAACATGAAAGCCTGTTCTCCCGTATAAACATTGATTTACAACACTTCATGCTATCTACTGACAGAAATGCTGCACTAAGTGATTAACATCAAGCTGATCTCACTAGCTCTTGAGGTTTTAACCCATGTACACTGAGCAATTATAGCGCAGTCAGTATAGCGACTGATGACAGGCTGGATGACAAAGGGGTCAGAGTCCCGGTAGGGTCAAGAATTTTCTCTTCTCCACATCTTCCAGACCAGCTCTGGGGTCCATCCAATGGGTACTGGAGGGCTCTTTCCCCAGGGGGAAAAGCAGCTGTTGCGTGAAGCTGACCACTCACCTCCAAATAGCGCCGAGGTCATGGTGTGATGCTTAATTAGTTAAGCATGGGGACAACTTTTTGTACTTTACACTGAGCAATCTAAGGGTTCATGGGTCATGCAGGGTTAAAGAAGGCAGTCGTGGCCTATTTGAAAGTACTATGCCAGCATTCTATTAGGGAGGCTACTATTCCCATGATGATTACCATTTTCAGGGATGTGATACCATGCAGTCTGGTAGATAATTATAAACGTTTTGGATGAACCTACTTCCATCAATTTATGGGATATGGATGGCAGGTTACCCTAAAACACTGGTAATGTCTGCCAGAGGGCAGTAATCTTCATAATCAGCATCATGAAAACTTTAAAACTCAGTTTTACACTAATGTGGTAAACCAAAAGGAGATTAAAAGTATACAAAATTGCTCTTCTATTTACGCTGTGCTTTGGTCTGTATCTGAATCTCCTGTTCACATAATGTTTATATGTGCATTTGAAACTGTGAATTTTTGGGGTTAAACTGCATGTCATTCAAAGTACCATATATCGTGTAGGCTTTCATGTGAGAAGCAGAGGCTCTGCTTCATGTATTCATGACCAAATCATAACATCCAGTACTGGAAGGGAGGAAACACATTTCAAGACCATCTTATAAATAAGAATTTTTGATGAAAATGAAGCTGATGACAGAGACTATTGCTGGCAGATCTACCTATCAACATAATTAGTACTGGCCACAACCAGTGCATGTGAACTCATAATCTCATGTAACACTATTACACTTTTATTGTATATAGAGACATGATAAAGAGTCATGTCAAAGGACTCTGCATAAAAGTAGGATGTACATAAGTTTCAATAATGAGTAAAAATATTCTCATATACTATTTTTTGCCTCCATTTATTAAAAATATGCACTCATCATGTGTTGATTCCATAATAATGTAGTTACAACACTAACAACTGCTAATTTTGTTAGTTGATTCTTGTGTCTATACAAAAAACACTCCAGTTTATATTCTGTTGTCCCTACTACACATCTCATTTTCTTTGTGTTCCTTACAAAGACTAGAAGAGTGGTCTTCAGATATCTGTATTATTTAGCTGAAGTCCTCTGGAGTAACAAGACATCACTCTTCTTAAGGGATATTAGAGACCAGCTATTTAAAAAGAGTACACACTTTGTATTCTTAAAATATAACTATAAGTAAAAATACCTTGTGTAAATGGTAGAGGGAAGAGTGGTAATATGGAACCCCTTTAGGTTTCTGCCTTGTCATATGTATAAGAGGTGGCATCGAAAAATTCCCGGACAGTTATTGCTGTAAACGCCTCGGTGAAAGATGAGAGGGGAGTCCAAGGACACACTTCTGAAAGCCTACTGCATCTGTCTGCCATGTGACACCATGCTGTGATCATGCACTGTTTTTACACAAGTGTTTTTTTGACTTCAGGTTTCGTTTTGTCTGCAATGGATGACAAAATCAAGCAACGTGTCTGCATCAAGTTTTGCGTGAAGCTCGGTAAATCCAATGCCAAAACTCTTGAAATGCTTCGTGAGGCTTTTGGAAAATATTCTTTAAGCTGGACAGCGGTTTTTGAATGCCATTCACGTTTCAAGGCTGGTCGAGTGTCATACTGAAGATGACGAACGTTCAGGGTGACCAAGCACTAGCAGAATGACAGAAATTGTTGAAAAAATTCAAGAACTCATCCATGAAGACTATCACCAAACAATCCATGAGCTCACAAACACTGCTGGGATCAGTTATAGAGTTTGCCAGGATATCTTAACAGAGAATTTGAACATGCGCTGCACTGCTCCTTCATCACAACAATGTGCCCGCCCACATATCCCTGAACACTACACAGTTTGTGACTAACAACAAAATGGTTATTGTTCCCCATCCTCCATATTTGCTGGACTTAGGCCCTCTGTGATTTCGCTTTGTTTTCCAAATTGAAAATAAAACCGAAGGGATGACATTTTGAAACTGTGTGACGTCCAAAGGAAATCGAAAATTGTACAGCATTAAGGAAAATCACTTCCACAGTGCTTCTGAAGTGTGGAAAAAAATGCTGGGATCACTGTATATGTTCCGAAGGAGATTCTTTTGAAGGAGATGGCAGGCAAAATTAAGTTGAGCCAGCATTTCTCTTTTGCCATAGTCTGGGAACTTTCCAATAGAACCTCATATTGTTTCGTTCAATATAGAGAAGGTCACATCATAATGTAGGAAATTTAACTGGCTTGCAAACATTGTGACTGAAATTTTAATACAGTAAACTATTTTTCAGAAAAATTCAGTTTTTAAAAACTCAGACCGACAAATAAGGAAAAAAAAAGTGCTGGTAATATGGAACCATATTACATGAAACAATTGAAGGACTTACAAGACAGGCAAAATGATGAATCATCTACTTTTAGAATAAAAATTTAATTATTTAAAGTAATGAAAACTTTATCACAGACCTAGAGCACTCTGGTTACGTGAAAAATATTAAGAGCAGCACAAACATACCCCATCATATGCATGTACATGCTGTTAATCCTAGTCATAACTGAAGCAAGAAATTCATGTAACCTGGAACTCTTCGTACTGCACAGTTCCATTTTATCATCATTGCCATGTTGCTGAATAATTTGAAAACTTTCATGTACCACAGTGACTGATGATGTAAAGTTATATAACACTTGAAAGCCTGCTTCCTACACTATAATTATAATTAAGAAGAATACAACAAAATGAAGGAATGAATACTATTGTGATATGTATCTATGAAAAGTTTAAGTACCACTTCACAAAATAAGTAGCACTAAAGCCAACAAAATTTCAGAAATGTGTTTGCTAGTAAAACTGTGCTTTTGGTGCCTTATAAATTAATAGTTCTGATAGTCACAGCTATGTCTGTGCACCAGAGCAGAGGCAGGAGATGGGGGTTCCATATTACCCACCTCTTCCTCTATATTGTTGCAATATGACTGAGGGGTGGGAGAGAAGAGGGTTAACATACAATTTGTTTCCAGCAAACTTACTTGAAAACCACTTAAAAATAATCTTTAGAATCACATCTGACAGTTACAGAATTTTCCTGCATTATGTGGTAACTATTTCACTACCGCATAACCAATTTTTAACACATTTTCAATGAACATACATGAAGACAATTTTTGGACTAACAACTTGATTTTAAAATAACAATGGAATTAAAAGGAACTGGCACATAAGCTTTCAATTTATAATGCATTTAAACATAAGAAACAAACAAGAATACCCTGTAAAGGAATAAAGAAACTTGCTAACTAACTTATTCCCATCTGATGGAAATTCACTGAAGACTCATTGATTTGCACAAACTCCTTACTGCAAACATGCAAGAAAGTCACTGGAAATGCAACGTATGTTACTCTAGCACACAATCCACTACAGGAAATGCACGGCAATATAGGAAGAATGTGGCAGTGATCTTTATCTTATTTTACAATGCCTTTCACATCTTCAGTTTGTATGTGGCTTCCAGCTCCATTTCTTTACCAGCAGATACCAGCCACTCTTCCCATTTTCTGTACTTTTTGCACTCCATAACCTAAGTTTGTTTTCAATATTACACTTTACATGCATCATCAGATCTGTTAACACTCTAACTCCTCCTTCCTCACTTTCTGGACGAACCCCATACAGAGCTTGTGGGGTAATATATTATCAAAGGCCTTGTTGTTTTAGTTTCATAATGAAACGGTCTTTCTTATAGTGACAATTTACTTTAATTTTAAATGTATCACATTTTTTTCTTTTACTCAAAATATTCAGAAAAAACTGAAAAAAAAAAACTATAATTGAACACTTTTTTATTCTGTGAATTAAAGATAAATGAATCAACAGAAATACAAGGATTCTAAGACCAATTTTTCCTAGACTATGCAGCTAATGCAAACATTTTTCCACAAAATGTACTCCAGTACATAATAGAGGAAAAACTCATTTCAGTTACATATAAGAAACTAAGTATAAAGAAGAGTACAAAAATACAGATGAATCTTTTGAAAATATATTTTGTCTAAGCTAATTGAATAATGTGTTGTCATAATGACAACAACTACAGTGTAATCAATTTTGTATGGGATACGAGATAAAGATTTCTGAAAACGTGTTCTTTCTTTTTCAGATGAAAAAAAATAGTTTAGCATACTTGTTTAAAGAACATTTTCTGTGCTATTGGTACATCTTCCTTTGAGATAATGAGTCATGTACAATTCTCTTCAAACAGCGCTCCAAAAATATGCTCAGCCTCTCACCTCAGGTGAGCTAATGGAGACTGATGGCAAGTACATTTTAGTGTCAGTCTAAATATATGGGTGAATGGTACTGTTAAGAAGATTTAAATAATATTTCTGGAGCCCTGCTTGTAAATAGGTTTCAGTTTGCATAAAATAAGAAGACACACTCACAAAGTGAATTGGAGGGAAGAAACTATTACATAAAAACTCAACAATCCAGCACTTCAAACCACAAGTCAGTTTTTGTGACAGTTCTGCAAGAACTCTTGTATAAATTAATGAAGGGTCCAAACTATACCAACATGAAAAAGTGTGGTGAAATTGTCCACTTTCATAGAGAAAGTATTCTATTTACAATGTATCCAAATGCAGCTGTTAACATTTATTTAGACAAATGTTTAGAGTTTAATTTGCACAAGTGAATCCTTTTTTATTTTTACACCTTACTTCACAAATTCATTAAGTTTCTGCACACTGACAAACATTCACTTCATGATACTAATGTCACAAAGATCAGAAAGAGTTTCTTTTGCACTCAAAGATGTGTGATTTTACACAGTGAGTTCTGAATTTGTGGACAGTAAGAAGTATTTTGCGCCACACTGAAAAGTAAGTCATAAAGTTTTAGAAAATGCCTATGAACCATCATAATTATTGGAGCAAGTAATTTATTTTCTTACTTATTATTGTTGCGCGCTACCATTTCTTCATGCTCTTGTTGTTGTTGTTGTTGTTGTTCTTCTTCTTCTTCTTCATCATGCTGTTTTTATTATTATTATTACTTTTGCTTGCATATAGAGAACAAAACGAAGTTCCAAATAATCCGTTAAAACTATAATGATTAAGCACATGTTCCTTGCAAATAATATTAGCCATTATTTTCAGGAAATGAAGAATCAAGACCACATCTATAAAATATGTTGTAGTACTGGGATAGACAAGGTCTTCAATGAACACATTACAAAATCTTTGGCTCACCTACTTAAGATAATAAACTTTGCCAAGCTTGCATATAAGATATTTTAGTTGCAGTCACTTCAGTGAGTACAGATGACAATCAGCAATCATCCAACACTCCTAGTATTAAATCCAGTTCTAGTCTTGTTCTAATATTTCATTACTTTGCCAAGTAACACCAATGGTAGCTTAAATGCATAAGTTCATCAAACAAATGCAATAAAATCCACTTGGACTATCACCCATGTTAAAAAATGAAAAGTGTAATCTTCTGGAGTTTATCTCTGCTATATTCATTAGGGATAAATGATGAGTGACTGTCAAATATGTACACCACAGATAGACACAGACGGGTGAATGCGTGTACACACATACACATGCACAAAGTATCTGTTCATCTAGCAAAGTCCAGTTGTCATTGGCCATGAGGCAGCCAACTAGAGAAGTGGGTATTAAGTTTAATTGCCTACTCATATGTTAGAAGGGGCACGCGGTAGCGTAGGTGGTTAAGGCACTATGCTACAAGCCAGAAGGTTGCAGGTTCAAGTCCCGATGAGGTCATTGGATTTTTTTTCAATTGACCTAATCCTTCCGGCTGCACTATGGCCCTGGGGTCGATTCAGCCTCTAACAGAAATGAGTACCAGGAATTAATTAAATAATTTTCCTGGGGAGTAAAGCGTGGCAGGTGTGTAAGGCTGACCTTACTGCCATCTTTGAGCTGATTGTCTAGATAATGTGGGACCCTCAACATCTCACAACCCTATGGGCCTTCACGGCCTGTTACAGGGATAGCTTTACTTTTTTTTTACTTTACTCATATGTTAGAATGCTTGTTGCTATGTTGGAAGTATTTTACCTGGTGACAGTGAAGGTGACAGGTGAAATCCAGTGATTCAGCCATACTTCAAAATAAATGCTGCTATTTCTACCCACAATATGGCAGCAGTATGTTGCTCCAAAACATTGGTACCCACCTGTCAGACTACACAATGTCATAACCAACAAGATGACAAGATGACTTGTCATCGCCATAACAATTTGAAATTGTACTTACACTGGAATGAAAATTAATCTGAAGAATTTGTATGAATATGATAGGAGCACAGTTCCAGGAGGAAGCCACACTCAAGTTAATTCCCTCTATTTTATTGGCTGGATTATGGCTAATGAGGACAGGGCTCTGCTGGACAAACGATATACTTACTGGCAATCTGTATCTGATGGTCACTGTACATCTTTCCGAGACAATGTATGCAGAAATAAACTCTGAAACTTTGTAGTTTTACCGTAAAGTGATGTGGCTGATTGTCTAAGCAAGAGTTCATTACATTCAACTGCTTCACAAGCTTCAAGTTATAAACTATCAAGCAAATGTTGGAAACATATTAATGATTTCAGCACATATTATACATTTATATTATACAAAACTAAACACCACCAGATCACAGGTTTCAAAACCACACAAAGCATCTTCACACAAAGGTACTATAAAACAGGAGTATCATAAAGTATCAAGTACAGAGGGAAATTGGTTACTTCATTTTGGACCTTAGATAATGATGTACATTCAGTATCTCAAGTACATTCAGTTGCTATATAAGTGACCTAGAACAGGAGCATGGTTCACATATAAAGATGTATTCCTGCTTCTGGCAGGGATATAAACTTAACAGTTGTTTAATTCATAACACAGTATGCATACAGATACCTATCATGATGGGATTCTTCCACCAGACAAATTGCTTTCCTTGAGAGGAGATTCTAAGGACACACAAAATATCATTTTAACACAGAAATTCTGGATTCAGTGCTGACCACCATCTTCTGAGCACCTTACCTTTCTTAAACACATTTATAAAGGTCCAGTGGGAAAAGTAAGCATGGCATTTTGTAAGATTTAATTTGATGCTAACTACAGGTTAATATTTCCTTTCTTATACTCATTTAAGATATCACACACACATATATAGTCATACCCACTCTTGAGTCCATATGTGCACAGGCAAACAGATAAATAATATCATCATATAATGCAAGAATGGCAAAGTTTAAACATTACTTTATAAAACATTACCTAATGTCAACCTGACCTGAGCTATATAAGAAATGAAAATTCATAAATCCACTGTCTGTAAATGGACGATGTTTCAGACTTTTATTAATATCACTATTCTTTTTAATTCTGTAGAGCATTTTTCCTTTCAGTTCTATACATCAATCAAGATAATCAGAAAACCAAAAACAGATTACTTGTGCATGATGGTTCTCTAATAGGACCAAAAACTGCTGTTCAGGACAAAGTAGAGTGTATAAAAATCATGATCACAATTATTCAAGGTTCTCTTCTCATGCATATCTTTATTTTGTATTCAGAATGCCAAAATGTAGATGAATTGAATTGCTATGTTCTGAAAACTGCAGTGTATCAAGCATAATTACTGGTGACATATAAATTCTGAGAAATATGTGAATGGATTTCATTTTGAGATTTCCATAAAATATTAAACTTTTATCACCAAAGCAAAATGAAAGATTTACTGAATCTTAATATATATTTAGGACACTTTTGAAAGAAGTAATTGAAGCTTGTACAGACAGTGTGACAGTAAAGCTTCCAGGCTGATGCTGTGTTGGTCTACAAAGTCAATGCAGACAGGGCCCAAGCTGAAAATAAAGCATACTAACACTCAGCAAATGGTATGTACAGTCAGTGGATTCATGAGATGCTAACACAGGTCAGGCACAGTTAAGTGCTTCATGTTTTGGGTATTCAGATTATCCTTGTCACTTTACATAACCATATACTTTTTGTTTTATTAAAGACTGCACATCTCCTTATTTTACGTTACTAGGCGCAAAACTGTACCTGAGAAAGAGATGAAAAGATGTGTCAAATGCTCATAACGTCCCTACCCCCCATTAACAGGCGTGATGGCCAGTGATGACCATCGTTGGCATGAAACTGCTGCTCAATCTTTAAGTGAGACTCTGGTATGGGATGAACTGCCAACATTACTTTGCTCCTGGAACTTTACTCAGCACCTAACAAGAGTAAAAGAATTCACTTCTTCAGAAAAGGTTTCAAGGATAAATGTAGGCAACAGATGCAAAGCAGAGCAGAGCTTTTAATATGGCAGTAAGTCAATAAGTAAGTTACAAATGGATATAGAACTTAAAACAAATAATAGTACTGATTTGAAAAATGCTTTTATTTCTCAACATAATTTCCCTGTACACTGAGGCACTTATCCCATCATTTCACAAGCCCCTGAAAACCAGCAGCATAAAATTCTTTGGGCTGCTGTTGGAACCAGGTGGTAACTTCCCTTTCTACAGCTTCATCGTCGGGAAAATGTTCAGCTGAAAGATGATGTTTAAGCGGGCCAAAGAAATGAAAGTCGCTTGGAGCAAAGTCGGGGCTATATTGAGGATGCTCGAGGATTTCCCACTTGAAATTTCACAGCGTCTCATTTGTTTTGTTAGAAGTATGGGGACACGGGTTGTCATGCAAGAGTAACATGCCTTTGGTGAGGAGTCCTGGTCGCTTCTGTTGAATGGCCTTACGAAGTTTCCTGAGGATGTTACAGTAGGAGTCGGCATTTACGGTTTGTCCTTGAGGCTGGAATGCGGTGAGCAGTATACTTTCCTGATCCCAGTCACCGCCTGGTTCTGACAGCAGCCCAAAGAATTTTATGCTGCTGGTTTTCAGGGGTTTGTAAAACGATGGGACAAGTGCCTCAATGTACAGGGAGATTATGTTGCGAAATAAAAGCATTTTTCAAATCAGTACTCTTATTTGTTTAAGTTCTATATCCATTTGTAACTTACTTATTGACTTACCTACGTATCATAAAAGCATATAGACACACACACATTAAAATCACTCACTTATGTATGAATATGGATGAACTATTTTGTGCCCTTAGGCATTTACTTAAGGTACAAGCCCAGTTCTTCTGGTCCAAAGATAATTCTGGTGGAGCACAAAGAATCTGTGAATCATGCGGTCCCACAACTGCTACCAGAAGATCGATGGGGGGAACAAGAAGAATAGTATTGTACTTGTGAGACACAAGTTGATACTCCATCACAAAATTAAATAAGCTTTCTTTCATTTCTTTCTCCCCATATTTCAGTGCTATATGTCAGTACAGTTCAAAAGATATGCTTTAGATACTGTTTCGGGACCTCTTCATTCAATGGTATTCCTTTTATAATTTGAGGAAATTTTGAACTATTTTGCGGTTTTCTATTGATATTTCCACTGATTTTCCCTTCTGAGTTTATTTAATTTCACAGATAAATAAATTTGCATCTATAAGATAGCCAATTTAAATATCAGCTTAACGAAGGGCTACTGTGACAGGTTCTCTTCAGTCTTGCTAGGAATATGTTTATATACTCATCATTTATGTCTGTTTGTCTCATTTGATGCTGTATAGCCCTGTAGCAGATGAAACATAATTAGACAAAATAATCACTTAACTTCTGACTTCTTCTGACTTATGCTTATAATTGTTAGGCTGCCGTGATAGCAGACACTGCCTCGAAGGGTGTCACTTTGCGTATTCCTCTTTTAAGAAGCTGTTACTGTGCAACCTCCAATTTGTTACTGTGGTTATTGGCTTTCAATAGTGAAACAGTGAACCACAGTAACTAGAACCGTTGTGTAGCAATGGACACCTGTTCTTCAGTGCTTAGGAACGTGTTTACCTAATCATTTCCTAGAAACGGCCAAATCTGTCACAATATGCTATAGCTGATGCTGAACCAGCGTTTCAATATCAAAGACAATTACTGTAATTTCATTGTTTTGCTAACATACAACCTGTATATAGGCAACGCCATAGCTCAAGCGGTTAGTAGTTCCTGGCTTCCCACCTTGGCGGCCCGAGTTCGATCCCAGGTTTGGTCAATTGGGATTTGTGGTGGACAAAGTGGCGCTGGGGCGGGCTTTCTCTGAGTACTTTGGTTTCCCCTGCCAATTTTCATTCCACCAAATTCTCCATCATAATCAGCCGGGGCAGGTATAATAGGCCAATCAGTGGCCACCATGCCGAGTGGACCCAGTTGGACTCCACCCCTGACTAAGCGAATTAAAAAAACATACTATATACCTTTGATAAGTCAACTCCTGTGAGGGCATGGACAGCTGGAGGGACCTGGCCCACCAATCTTGTCAGTTCACCTGTCACATTGCTGTCTCCGCCTCCCAGCAGCACAATCTCTTCCGTCTTGGCTAATGGAGCAGACACTTCAGCAGCAATCTGGAAAACAAATGGATAAATAAAAAAATTAATCTATACAAATAAATCAACATTTAGCCCCACCAAGATAGCCGGCTCATGTGTTCAGTGCTTCTTATGTGAGTGTGAGGGGAGGGTGTCCAGTCTGAATCTTGGCTGGGACATTCACAATCCTGACTGAACATCTTCCATGGTTTTCCCCTGCCCCTGCAGATAAATGCCAGGATAATATGTCAAAATAGGTCATGACTGTTTCCTTTCATGTCCTTTCAAATTCACTATTTAAGTAAGTAAGCATTTAATACTATAATGTCTGAGCTACTGCCAATCTCATTAAATAAACCATAAATAAATAAATAAATAAACAAAATACATTCATAACTGATTCCATTCAAACTACTTTTCTAAATTTAATTAGAACAAGAATGGAAAGATGAACTTCACTGGACTATATGAGGTAAGTGTACATTGTTCCAAACTCTGTCCAGTACTTCTAATGCATTTTTCTTTACTTCATGTGGATTTACTCACTTCAGGCAGATCCCTCTGGATTCTATTTTATTCCTCACTTAGGCCTACCCCTCAGGCTGACTGCCACTGATAGATTCATTATTTGTTGTTGCTATAGCAACTGGCTACATGCTGGACTATAGCGACTGGCTACATGCTGGACTATAGCGACTGGCTACATGCTGGACTATAGCGACTGGCTACATGCTGGACTATAGCGACTGGCTACATGCTGGACTATAGCGACTGGCTACATGCTGGACTATAGCGACTGGCTACATGCTGGACTATAGCGACTGGCTACATGCTGGACTATAGCGACTGGCTACATGCTGGACTATAGCGACTGGCTACATGCTGGACTATAGCGACTGGCTACATGCTGGACTATAGCGACTGGCTACATGCTGGACTATAGCGACTGGCTACATGCTGGACTATAGCGACTGGCTACATGCTGGACTACCAAGGAATCAGAATGAGTCTCAGTGGGGCCAGATTATTCACATTCCCATGGTGTTCAGAAAGGCTCTGGGGCCCACCCAGCCTCCTATCCAATGGGTACTGGAGGCTCTTTACCCGGGGGTAAATGGGTTGAAGCGTGAAGCTGACCACTCACCTCTAACAAGTGCCAAAGTCAAGAAAATGTGGGTATATACATTCACTCCCCTGTATGTCTTCATGGTGTAGTGCTAAATTAATTAAGCACAGGAATAACTTTGCCTTTTACTACTAAACCGAAACCTATATTAAAGAAAATAATTTAACTTTAAAGGTTAAAGCATCATTAGTTCTTTTTTTATTATGTTTTATATGTCTTACCTTTGGCAGTGCTTCCAGCACCAGAGACATGATTGCAGCATCCCCATACTGCTTATACACAGCTGCCTTCATGCGCATACGTTCTGCTTCTGCCTTGCCTACCCCCTCAATTGCATATGCTTCAGCTGCTCCAATTTTCTTGATTTTCTCTGCCTCAGCTTTGGCTACTTCTACTGTCTGTGTTCTGAAATGCCAGTGGAAAGGTTCTCTTCAAAATAGCAGTCACATTTTACAAATGAATTCTTTAATATGTAGTATATCACAATGGCCACCGTGTTTGGTAAAAACGTATAAAATGAAACATGTAGATTTTAATAAGACCTATATTTCATGTTACATACCAAGTATTTTTACAATGCTATGCCAATTCACTTACTCAGACTGCATTATCTTCACGACAAATTAAAGCACATTAAAATATTTCTTGGGTTACATACATCCTTGCAATAGCAATAAAATACAGTACCCACTCACTCTCTCATGGAGCTGAGCCCTTCTTGAGAAGCCACCAATTGTGCAGCTACTCAAGAACTTCTCAGCATTTTATGGAACCTGAAAGTTCATTACTGTGATCACAAGAACCCACCACTGGTCCCTTTCCTGAGCCAGATTGATCCAGTCGATACTATCCCATCCTATCTCTCTAAGATTCATTTTAATATTGTCCACCCACTTATGTCTTGGTTTTCCTAGTGGTCTCTTTCCTTCTGCCTTTCCGACCAATATCCTATATGCATTCCTCTTCTCCCCCATTCGTGCTATATGCCCTGCCCATATCATCCTTCTTGACTCAATCATTCTAATTACATTTGGCAAAGGGTACAAGTTGTGAAGCTCCTCATTATGCAGTTTTCTCCAACCTCCCATAACTTGATCTCTCTTCGATCCAAATATTCGCCTCAGCACCCTGTTCGAAAACACCCTTAGCCTTTTTTTTTTTTTAAATTCGCTTAGTGGGGGGTGGAGTCCAACTGGGTCCATTCGGTACGGTGGCCACTGATTGGCCTATTGTAGCCTGCCCCAGTGTGATTATGATTATGGAGAATTTGGTGGAATGAAGATTGGCAGGGGAAACCGAAGTAGTCAGAGAAAACCCACCCCAGCGCCACTTTGTCCACCACAAATCCCACTTGACCTACCCTCAGTCTATGTTCCTCCCTTAATTCCAGAGACCAGGTTTCACACCCATAGAGAACCACAGGCAAAATTGCAATTGCAATTTTTCTGTTTTTAGATAGCAGACGAGAAGACAAAGGGTTCTGGACTGAATAGTAGCAAGCATTCCCCAAACCGAATTTCCTCTTAATTCCATCCTGAATCAGGTTTTGATTTGTTATAGTAATAAAATACAGTATATGTGAATAACGAACTAAACATCTTTTCTAATTTCACATAACATTTTTTCCATATATAAACCCCTACATGCCTATCTGTCTGCATGTTATGACCCACATCTTCTGAATGGCTCATTCTTCAACAAAGAAAAAGTTAAAGAAAAAATTGTTTTTAAAATTCAGAATCCTTAAATATCACACCCACAACTTATGTACGAAGTATCAACAAAGAACTATTAAGATGTACCTTTTTCCTTCAGCAATCATCTGGACTCTGTAGCTTTCTGCCTCGGCTGGCAGTCGTACTGTAGCATTCAGCTCTCTCTCTTTTCTCTGGACCTCTTGCTCTTCAACTTCAATCTGTTTCCTTCGTTCGACAACTTCAATTTGAATTTCCTCATTACGGATCCTTTGGCGGATCTTAGCTGCCTGTAGTTCATATGCCAGTTGTGCTTCTGCTTTCTGCAACATTTGCCATTTACTCATCAGTGAAACATAAAATAAAAAAAGGCATCCTAGTACCAAATCCCTCAGTTCTGACACACATCAGAATTTCATTAATTGCACGTAACAAAATACTGCACATGCAACTGTTTTCCTTCCTCAAACTGAAAATGTTAAGTACACATACTGTGATGATTCTACAGAAATTACCATTAAACATGTACCTGGCCAGATGCATGAACAGGAGTGACTGGGAGAGGTCTGAGAATCCACAATACAGAGATATGATCATATGTCAACTCCTAAAATTGTAATATATACATGAAAGGGCGATAATAATAAATTCACTAAACAATTACATGAAATATCAATTTTATAAAAATAAGACAAAATGTATATCAGTCCAAATAAAATTCAAGTAAAAGTGATTTAGCTAATATTTACATTGCAACCCTTGCAATGATAGGAGCCTGTATAGCTCAGTTGGTATAGTGATACGCTATATGCTAGATGGGGTTCAATCCCCTGGCAGGGGCAAAAGATGTTTCTCTTCTTCACAGTGGTTAGACCAGCTCTGAGGCCAAACCAGCCTGCTATCCAATGGGTACCGGGGGATCTCAGTTTCAGTACTGGCCTTATAAGTGAGGTTTGCATTTATATAATTTTTGAATCTCTGTTATCATGCATACAATATATATGCAGTAGCTAGAATAAATACACGAAATTTAAGGTGCATTTTGGATTGTGGTCAAGCAGGTTAAAGGGGTGCTCACTAAGTTTCGCTGTTTGAACAAAATAATCCAAAGGCCAGAGAAATCAGTAACATACAGCCTATTCATAGTGGACTTTACCCTCTACAGCAAGAAATGTTGCAATACAGTCATATATCATATGCAGAATGTTTTATAGAAAGCTGGATGACATAAAACATATGTAAATTTTTTGTGGACATGTTCACAGATGTGGGACATCTGAATCTGTGGTGTAACAGGGGCCTACTGTACTAGAATGGAATGTTCCTGGTGACAGTAACGGGGGCCTACTGTATTAGAATGGAATGTTCCTGGTGACAGTAACAGGGGCCTGCTCTACTGGAATGGAATGTTCCTGATGACAGTAATGGGAGCCTACTGTTCTAGAATGGAATGTTCCTGGTGACAGTAATGGGGGCCTACTGTATTAGAATGGAATGTTCCTGGTGACAGTAACAGGGGCCTGCTCTACTGGAATGGAATGTTCCTGATGACAGTAATGGGAGCCTACTGTACTAGAATGGAATGTTCCTGGTGACAGTAACGGGGGCCTACTGTATTAGAATGGAATGTTTCTAGTGACAGTAACAGGGGCCTACTGTACTAGAATGGAATGTTCCTGGTGACAGTAACAGGGGCCTGCTGTACTGGAATGGAATGTTCCTGATGACAGTAACAGGGGTCTGCTCTACTGGAATGAAATGTTCCTGATGACAGTAACAGGGGTCTGCTCTACTAGAATGGAATGTTCCTGGTGACAGTAACAGAGGCCTGCTGTACTAGAATGGAATGTTCCTGATGACAGTAACAGGGGCCTACTGTACTAGAATGGAATGTTCCTAATGACAATCACAGAGAAAGTTGGCTTAAGTGATAATGCTTCTGATTTGTCCCTCCAGGGAAGAGCCAGGACAGTACCTCAAATTAGACCATGACCACTTCCTTCGACACTCATTCCGATTGATTAATCACTATCAATTCTGAACTACTTACAATGCCATTAAATAAACCACAATTAAAAAAAACTTGCCACAACCAACCCCATATAATAAAAATAAAAAGTAGTTCACAAGATGTAACAACAATATTCTATCAATGAAATTTATATCCTTCTGCAGATGTGATTACACTGAATTTTATCACTTACGTTAATATGATTAAGTACTGAATACTTACGGCAGTGTTCACTTCCTTGTCAAAGTTTGCCTTCTGTAATTTGTACATTCTTGAGTTGTCTTCAATTTTCGTGTCTGTATTGTACTTGATATCCATCGCAGATTTCTCACACTCTGCTTCCTGAAAAATTCACACTTAGACACTGATTACGACTACTCTTGGAAAGAACTTTAACGCCACAAGTAATTACAGACGCATTGTACCTAATATAGTTGAAGAGCTAGGATACCAACAAAACTGGAAAAATTATGTGCAAAGAATCAAAAATAACCATCTTCCACAACTGATGTTCCATTTCCAACTGAAAGGATGAAGATACTTTGGAGGACCACAGTGATGATGGGTGGGCCAGGGCCATCTTAGGAATCATAGGAATAGCTTTTAACAATCTAAACTTTCAAGTTTATGGCGATGACCTTGTGTTTATTCTGGGTAATCACTGGTGTCAAAGCTGTTCTAAATGTAATAGGTAAGAAGACAAACTTTCAGTCCATCCCTTCCAAGGATGGAACCTGACATAAACCGTAATTTGGTCGGTAATCATTCTTCCAATGAAAAGGAAATTAAGAATTTCGTCCCTACCATAATTTGGGTTAGATTAGACTGAAGCAAAGCTTTTAATTTGACTTGTTATTGTAAATGCTCACAGCAGTGCATGACTGGGGTAGATCAGTCCACAAGAATACATTATCAAAATCTGCTGTCCTGTAACAAATACCAAGTTGCCAAATTTCTCTTAAGTCTGATGGTGTTACACCAGGAAAGGAACTGTTACAGGAGGGAACCCTAACTAGAATAAATACTTGGAATTTGAAAACTGCAACAAAAAAAAAAAAATACTGTTAATTATTAATATGGCTGAACGCATAACATGGGAATCGGGATAGCTCAGTCAGTATAGCGACAGACTATGAGCTGCAAGGCTGGGGTTTGATTCCTGGTAGGAGCGAGACTTTTCTCTTCTCCACAAAGTGCAGACTGACTCTGGGGGTAACCCAGCCTACTATCCAATTGAGTTATTCCCGGGGGTAAAGCTGACCACTCCCTCCATTTAGTGCTCAGGTCAAGAATGGTGGAGCTATGACTCCACTTCCCCATATGCCTTCATGACGTGTGCTTAATTAATTAATTAAGAAGAGGTAAGCATAATATTAACAGCGTTACAATGCAGTTAGGATGTCACTCGCCTTTCATTTTGTTTTACTACAATATAGATTAATCTTACCCTGATACCAGCATCTCGGTTCGCTTGCGCGACGCCGATGTCAGCGTCCCTCTTTACGGCTGCTGTTTGTGACTTGCCGAGCGAGGCCAGGTACTGAACCTCATCGTACACGTCCTTGATGGTGAAGGACAGGATCTCAATGCCCATTCGGCCTACGTCAGGAGCGGCAACTTCTCTCACCAGTGCCGCGAACTGGTCTCGATCTTTGTACACTTCTTCTACTGTTAGCGTTCCTGAAACACCAGCCACAATAAACAGTGCACAGAATGCAGGATTCTAGGTTCTCACAGCCGTCGTTATGAAGATTTAATTCCTGTGGGGTACAACGCCGTGTAGTCTGTTCAAAGTCAAGCGACATTTCGGAGGAACATGTCGCTTCCATCTTCATGGTCGAAGAATAAGCCGTACAAAAAAACGTGAAAGCAGAGCAACGTACTACACACCGTTATATTAGAGTTGAGTATGAGTATGAGGGGTGAGCCATAAAACCTGCCCCGCACTGCGACCTTCAATGATCTCTTGCGCTTCCCCTTCGGATTAACCCTTTATTAATCCCACACTTCGATTGAAATGTAGGACTTTATTTATGGGGGCGCCATAAAAGTCACTTGGTTCCATGAAGATTTGACCCAGGTGGCGATATCTCAGGTAAGCTATAGCCTTACAGTCACATAAGATGTGTGTCGCTGATTCATCTTCTTGTAGGCACCTCTAACAAGTTGAGTCCTCCGTCAATCCTAGTTTGAGAAGGTGCCCTTTTAGGTGACAGTGTCCAGTTTATATTCGAGATGAAAGAACTCTTTAGAATATAGCATGTCTCGAAAAGTTCCCAAGGTAAAGTCGTTTGTCACGTGGTTTTCCGGGTTATGATACCGGAGACACGTACTACTTAGACGCGGCTACCAAACTAAACGGTTTCATATCCCAGAAGCCCAATACATACACTGCGAATCTTTATGGTTATACGTTCAACTTATGTATTGCTAAGTGCAGCCACAAGACGAATAAGAGTTGTCCCGCTGGTCGCGGCAATCTAACGCTTCAAACGAAGTGACAGATGAATATAACGAACATCAGCAAGGGACTGATTCATAAGAAAATGGAAGTATTCGAAGAAAACCTGCCCCAGTGCCACTCTGACCACAGCTGAGTCGACCCCAGGGCCATAGTGCGGCTGGAAAGATTAGGCCAATTAAAAAATCCAGCGAATTCACTGGGGCTTTGTGTGGATTAAGAAACTTAGAAAGCGCTCAAGACCCAACAAAGGACTGTAGAGCTATAGATAGATAGTCATCTGTTTCCGCCGTGTGTCATGGGGACGAGACATGAGCATATCAATTCATTAAACAATTAATACATAACATGAAGAAGTTAACAAATGTCAAAGTATATACAAATTTCATGCGACCATTGGGACACTGCTGAATAGCTTCGATTGAAGAATAACTGGCCGCGGGTCTCGTGAAGCAACAGTAAATAACGTAAAGGTAAGAAAGAACGCTAATATAATAATGTTACTTACCTGCAACACACAAGAACTGCGGTCAAACCACTTGTTATAGCCAAACCAACAGCTCCTTTCAACATGAACGACATTTCTCATCCGATTCTATCTATGAATTGCACTGTTTAACTATCAGGGCAAGAAATGCTGTACAAGGTCAAAACATTCCTGTTTTCTTGTCAGTGCCCAGGGGAGTGATCAGGAGCTACTCGTTCTCATTATAATACTGATACTACTCATGTGATGCAACAACTTCGCCACCACTGCTTGCGTGTCTGCTGCTACACACGCCGTTCGGCATGTAACACACGGCAGACTGGATCTTCAGCAAATCGCAAGAGCTGGGCTGTTAACTTCCAAGGCCGACGAAACAAACACATGGGGTATAATGAGCGCATGTCAGTATTTTGTAAGTTAATGACGGCAATTCCGAAGAAGCTGAAGAACTATTTCAGTGATTACGAGAAACGTCCTGGCTTTTGGGCCGTAATTCCAAGATATCCATAGAAAACAAACTTCTACTATAAAAATGCATAATAAAACCCAAAAATAATTCAAAGGCTTCAATACAAATTCTTCGGTCAGTAAGTAAAGCGTCTTGGTAATCTCCTAATTTACGTCCACACTGATCTGCAAATCCCATCTGTAATAGAAGAAATATATAGACTGTCAACACTCTATCATCAAAGCATACTCGGACACAATAACAGACTAGCTGTAGAAATCAGTAACCCACCCAATGCAAGAAGAAGATTGAGGAGATAGTTGCCAGTTTGAAGACACTATACTATTTCTCCGTCAACGTAATTAGCAAACATTTAAGTCAAAAGGCCTTACTGTTTGAGAACTTAATGTGGGCCTACGCAATGTATGATTCATATCTGTGAAGTTCGGCGATTTACCAGCACCATACAAAGCAAGCGCGCTGGTCTCTTCTCTCAGCTGATCAACATTTTAGAATGGGCCACATCCCACTTGATGCATTCCTCATCACTGTCCACGTATGTTGCGGAAATAATTAATCCTTTTTTTTTCTTGGCACTACAGCCCCAGTGGGCCTAGGCCTACCTCCATGAACTTCTCCGTTTCACTGCGGTTTTTCTAGATCTTAGACATGCGGTAGGACTCCTTGGGCTGGTGATCACCTCGTCGCAAGACCTCTATCTGTACACAAACACAGAAAAACGCACACAAACATCCATGCCCTGAGTGGGATTCGAACCCACGATCCCGGCTTCTGATCGAGCGAAGACAGTGCATGCCTTAGACCTCTCGGCTACCGTGACCGGCAATTAATCCTTTAGAGTATGATATTCATGTAAATAATATTTAAAAGAGATGCGTTCCTACCATGGTCGACCGTGGGAGGGGGGGGCTAGCATTTTTCTAACTGAAAAGGAAATACACCAAAATATTAATACAAAACTCAAATTGTTTTAAAGAATATTTTTCTATCCTGAATATTCTAGGTCGACTAGTGAAAAAGTATTAACGACCTACATACGAAGTTTGAAACTTTTACGGCTACACCACTCCCCTGCCCCTGAAAAATCGTGGCAGCAGCCAACCTCTCAAACTCTGCCCTTCCATTAGAAAGACATACCGGATAATGTTGCACAGCAAAATTATCACCGCCTGTTGTGGGTCATGTTAAACAATGCAATGTGTTGTATATTGGCGTCCTGTTGCACTGATTTTCGTCCATGATATGCGCAGTGTTAGAATTGGGACGGATAAGATGAATAATCTTAACAAGTTTCTGGTATATAAATATTTATTATAATTGATGAACATTTTAAAATACTTTTTAAATTTTACAATGATATAATGGCAAGCAATGAAGTAGATTAACGTAAATGGAGCACCTGATGATGGCACTGTAGTGCCGAAACATGTTGTGAAGTGACAGGTGAAATTGAGTGCACTAAAAGACGGACACTACATACATATCATGGACGGATGCAATGTGGCCAAAAAGCAGAGTTAGAACAGGAGATACTAAATAACTATTGTGCTTTAAATAGTCTGAGAAGAACCAGAAACCTGAATCACAGACAGGAAACCAATACAGAACAAAGGGGTCACAAAAGACTAAACAGAACACCCATGATTCATCAGTAATGTCCAATACTTGTGACTGAAAAGAAAGCGGCCACTGAACTACTTCAATGTATTATTCCATAATGTCTTCGACTAACTGAATAAAGTAGACCTGCACTGTTGAACAAACAAATACTTACAGACACACACCAGAAATACAATAACACCTGCAAAAATCGGAACTCCAGTAGACCTGCTATTATCGGAAAATTGGGCCTATATGAATATAGAATAATATCCAACGTTAATTTATAAAATAAATTAAGTTACACTAAATTAAGCGGAGCATGTTTAATAAGAGAATGGAAAAGAAAACAGTCCACGTATACATAATATTATTTTATGTTTATAACATAAAATTAGACCGCCTATGTGGTCTAGTGGACAGAGTACCTGGCTACAGATCCAGAGGTCCGGGTTCGATTCCCGGCGCTATAAATTTTCTAAGTAGTGGGTCTGGAACGGGATCCACTCAGCCTCGTGAGGATAATTAAGGAGCTACTTGAATGGAACAGTAGCGGCTCCGGTCTTTAAAACCGAAATTAATGGCCTTGGGGATTCGTTGCGCTGACCACGCAACACCCTCTATCCGCTAAAGTTAGCACTAACTTCGTCGACAAGCGGCGGTTGCTCGGTTGGTACAGTTCGCTTGCGGACCAAAGCCAAGGAGCTTGTTTTGTTTGTTATAACATGAAATTTCTTAGACCACTACTATCAAGAAGTCAGATATGAACGAAAGACTGACAGTGGAAGACATACACGATTACCTAAGAAGAAAACTGAAATAATCCGGAGAAACAGCAGCAAAAGTAGCACCAATGGCAAAAGAAAAAAGAGACGTAAAGATGAATTCTTGCATGAGAGTTTACAGATCAGTTTTTATACGCCCTAAATATCCACGCAGTTTAAAAAGAGGGGATTTTAATATAATTTTGTTCTGTGGTGTGTTTTTAGCATTCACCTACTTAGGCGCATTCCTGTCCCGAGGGAATAAAGTCGGGCGTTATGAAACCGTCCATAAAGAAGCGCTTGGTTTCATTAGTACAGGAAGTCACAAATCATCATTACTTGTCTAACTGGACCACGGGAGTGAAGTGAATCATTCCCTTTCTTCTACCATGGTCTTGGGCCGTGCCACAGCTCAGGCGGTTAGTCGCCGGCTTCCCACAGCGGCGGACCGGGTTTGAGCCCAGGTTATGTGGGATTTGTGGTGGACAAAGAGGTACTGGGGCAGGTTTGCCCCGAGTACTTTGGTTTCCCCTGTCAATTCTCGTTCCACCAACTGCTCCACACTCATCACCATCTACCATCCGGGGCTGGTACAATAAACCAATTAGTGGCAGACGTACCAAGTGAACTCAGTCTCACCCCACCCCAAGGAACTAAAAAAAAAACTACTATAATCTCCAGTCTCTGTATATCTTGTTTTCTAGTTTACTTAACAGCGCTTACTGAAGTTCGACAGTATCGAAAGAAAGGCAGATATCGACTAACGACTTTTAAAGAATGTGGAAGGAAGCGCTCATTGGCCATTTTAAGGCATCTTTTCATAATTATTTTTCTGCAGAAAAACCAAGAACATGTCAGACAGGATAGCTGGCCTTCCGGGACATGAATTCAGCAACATCCCATATAAATCCCGTCTTCTTTATTGAATTTCTTCGCGCATTCATGCTCAGACGGTACAGGTACGGGGCTACGAGCTGGATAACCGAGGTTTGATTCCCGACAGGGACAAGAGATCTCCCCACAGCATCCAAACCGGCTGTGGGGCCCACCCAGTCTCCTAACCGATGGGTAACGAAGGATCTTTACTCGGGAATAAACCGGCCGGGGCGTGACTATGACCACTCACCTCCATCCAATGCCGAGTTCAAGAGTTGGGGAACAGCACTTGGAACTTAGTCGGAGAGAACATAACAACAGGGCAAACAAGATTACGTACTGTGGAACTTCACAAACTGCACTCTTCACCAAATCATACTAAACTACAGAATATGTTGCTCTTGTATTTGGAAAGTGTTCGGTTCGAATCTCAACCGGGACACCGGTTATCGCGGCTCAGGTTTTCGTAGTTTTCTTCAGTCCCTCCAAGCAAATTTTAGGATTCGTTCTAAATTCATTCTAATTCATTCTGCCATTTGATACTATACAGTCCAGGTCCTGATAGCGTAAAAAATAATATTTTTTCTCTCTTCTTGCTCCCACTTTGGAGCATAAGGCTGATTTCTCAGTTTCATAATCATTTTTATAGACGGCAGGACTTCTTAGATGGGTGATCAGCTCGTCGTAAGGCCTCTACCTGAACACAAAACACATACACATACCAAAATCCATGCCTTGTGTGGGACTCGAACCCACGATCCCGGGCTTCCGAGCGAGCGAACACAGTGCATGCCTTAGACCGCTCGGCTACCGTGACCGGCATAAAATAACATATAACCCTTATATCAAGGCGATCGTCAAACAGAATGAGACCGGCAGGACATGTAGCAAGTGCATGTTGTGAGAAATACTTGCAAAACTTTAGTTGAACATCCTAAAGTGAAGGGATTATTTGGGAGACGCATTATAAATGAAAAGTTAGCAATGTTGTATTTTAGCGTCCTGTTGCACTGATTTTCATCCATGATATGTATACAGTGGCCGTCTTGTAGTGCACTCAATTTCACGTGTTACTTCACGACATGTTTCGGCAACATAGTGCCATCATCAGGTGCCCTAATTACGTTAATCTATTGCATTGTTTGCCCTCATATGTCTTCACAACACCATTTAAAAAGTATTTAAAAAGTGCTTATTTGCCAACTATAATAAATTTACACTCACTAAAACTTAAGATTATTCATCTTATGTGTCTTAATTAAAGCTTGCCTGTGGTTCATTCACTGTGGCTTCGATTTTCTTATTTTCTGTGTAAACCGTGTCTTGTGATGTGTGTTCCCTTCTTAGCTGCGAGTGTTGTAATTAGGGCACCTGATGACGGCACTATGTTGCCGAAACATGTCGTGAAGTAACTGGTGAAATTGAGTGCACTACAAGACGGCCACTGTATACATATCATGGATGAGAAGTTAATACTTAAACTGACCTCAGAAAAGTGATGATGTGAGTGGAATTGATTAATCTGGCTCAGAACAGGGTCCAGCGGCGGGCTATTGAGCATACAGTAGTAAACATTCGGGTTCCATAAAGGCAGAGAACCGGTAGCCGAGCGGTCTAAGGCATGTACTGTCTTTGCTCGCTGGGAAGCCGGGATCGTGGGTTCGGATCTGTTTCCTGTGAGGTACGAACTGAATTCTTATATATTATTCTTATACACTGCCGGTCACGGTAGCAGAGCGGTCTAAGGCATGTACTATCTTTGCTCGCTGGGAAGCCGGGATCGTGGGTTCGAATCCCACATGTGTATGCGTTTATTCTGTGTTTATGTTGTCCTGTGTTTAGGTAGAGGCCTTGCGACGAGCTGATCACCCGTCCAATGAGTCCTACCGTCTGTAAAATGTTCAATGAAACTGATAAATCAGCCTTGTGCTCCAAAGTGGAGTAAGAGGAGAAAGAAAAAGGCAGAGAACTTCTTACCTAGTCCAGGAACTAAGTTCTCGGGTACACCTTTATAAGTTGGTTAGTAGCATTAAGTTCGACTGCCTTACCTGTGGTGCAAATGAAGAATTGTGAGGACCACCGTCAGCGTTAACGTCAACGTAGGGTACATCAGCAAACTCATTCTTGTCACGAGTGTCCAGCTCAAGTGAAGTACAAGGGCAAAAAAATGACTTGCGAATCTACTCCAGAATGCCAATTCCACATGTCAGCAGATAAAGATATATTGCCATGCCACTGTGAGCATCTTGGGTCTCATAGAAATAACCTTAACGAGTTGACCCTATATGAGGATGAGCATAGAAGACAAATGCAGGGGACAAGTGTTCGCTAACGGTCTTACGATTAGTCTTCAAATAAACAACAAAAAAAGAACTTCGTGGCTTGAGTCCGCAAGCGAAATATACAGACCGAGCGACCGCCGCTTGTCGGCGAAGTTAATGCCGCCTCTGTGGTCCAGTGGTCAGAGTTCCTGCCTACAGATCCAGAGGTCCGGGTTCGATTCCCGGCGCTACCAGATTTTCTGAGAAGTAGTGGATCTGGAACGGGCTCCACTCAGCCTCGTGAGGATAATTAAGGAGCTACTTCAAGGAAATAGCGGCTCCGGTCTAGAAACCCGAGATTAACGGCCGTGGGATCCGTTGCGCTGACCACGTGACACCCTCTATCCGCTAAAGTTGGCACTAACTTCGCCGACAAGCGGCGGTCGCTCGGTCGGTATAGTTCGCTTACGGACTAATACCACGGAGTTTTTGTTTTTATAACCCATTTTCATCATGTCCATACTCATTTCGATCCTGAAGATGGAAACAGCAGATTTATTCGAAATGTTGATATCCATCTAAAGATCACACGGCGTCACAACCCGGAAGACTACATTCTCAACACCTGTAGCCGTGGAACTCTTCAGATTTAAAACTCATCAGACAATCAATTTGAGATTATGCAGAGGTGCTAGAACTAACCTAGGATCGCTCTGAGGTGACCTTCCAGAGTCTGCAGCACCGTGGATTTCACCTCTTTGACGCTCTTTCCCAGGAACTGCTCGGAAGCTGTCTGCAGCAACTCCTCCGCCTTCATTATTTTGCACTGGGCGACGCCAGTAACGGTGAGAGGAACGCCGTGAGCGGTTTCGACGCTCTCGCACATGGGGTTCAGAGTCATCACCTCCAGTGACAACCTTTGGACGTCCGTGACGAACCACCACGCCCATGACCATCCTCCCACTATCGTGTTCTTCTTCGTGGATCCACAACAACCTCCTGTAACAAATGAGTTAAACTTTGTATTCATAGTTTGATTAAGTCTCTTCTCGTGCTGGCATATGGTGAGTTCATGATGTTGAAATGCTTTTACTCATTAACTGATTAACTAACAAACAGTTCTGTCCCTGAGATCCTAACAGTCACTCAGTTGGTCAAGAAATTACCTACCTCTTATGGAATAGGAAGATCCATTACTACGTTTACAAGAATCGGTCTCTGGAAACCTGGACCTCATGTCATATTTCTTGTCTTGACCGCCTCTGTGGTCTAGTGGTCAAGTTTCTGGCTGGAAGGATTAGGTAAAATGAAAAAGCCCAATGACCTCATCGGAAATCGAACCCGCGACCTTCCGGCTTGTAGCATAGTGCCTCAACCAATTATGCTACCGCGTACCCAAGGTACCTTTAGCACCCTAATAATAAATTAGTACAGAATGTAGCCCTGCAAGTAAGGGAAAAATTTAAATTCAACACTTCAACACCGAGCGGGACAATGATGGGTAATGGAAGTGCTGGGCTCTCCTGACAGGGGGTCTCGTGGTTTTCCTCGAACACTCCAGGCAAATGTGGGAATATTATCCCAATTACGCCATGACTGTTGCCTTCCAAATCATCATTCACCAATTGTCTTATCATCCTACGCTGTATAATCTCTATATTGAAACAGCTTCGTCAAAATAACCCTTGTAACACGAAATAAAATAGATTCTAAAGGGTTCTGAAGATTGTGTATTAACACTCAGAATTACTGGGTTCTCCGACTTTGTACATCGTCCGGTACTCTTCTAGAGACTGGATTTGTTTCCGTCTTGAGGTGAGGTGGGAGACACCTGCTCTGTTGAGTTCACCTCAATCACTGGACGGTAACAGATCCAGTTTCCGAAATGTTGTTTTGTAGTTTCTAGAATACCGGACAAGGGACGAAATCTGAGAACCCAGTAATTCTAAGAAATATAATGTATTTCTGGAAAACGATTTTCTCGCGGAAGGTGATTATGAAGATTAACGCCTTCTGGGATGTGACTCGGTGTAGTCTGGCAGACCGTTACCGACGTTTAGGAGGAACATGCTGCCTATATCTTCAGGGAAAAAGAGTCATCTGAAGAGACGACGGTCGCGCTACCAGACTGCAGAACGTCACTCCCAGAGGGCAATACTTATTTTACTCTGAGAGTGGCTTCAAGGCTTACAGGGATTACTCGCCGTCTTTCTGTGTTATGCGGCTAATGAAACAGGCAACAGCTGTGTCTAGGATACCGTTAGCTTCCTCCCGTTACTCTGGTGACGTGCAGTTTCTCAAGTACGCCCATGACAGCGAACCCGAGTAACGTCTTGACAGTGAACTTGGACACGTGGGGTTCAACAGCGCTCTAAAGCCATTCATAACAATCGGTTCATGGCCATATATAAAATACCATGACTCAAGCTGTTTTTCTCAGGTGTTCTGAAAGATCTAGTGACAAGATTAGACACCACGACATTTCAACAGCACATTTTTCCGGTTCAAAGTGATTTGCTGAAGGCATTTATCGGCGGAAATTGATACAATAACTCGTCAACTCGAGCAATAAGTAAGTGTGTGATTATTTACTAAAAGAAGTGCAGTGCAGTGACAACAGCCCTTGTTAAATATTATTATAATAGTTGTATTATTTGGCTGCAAGAGGTCATTAAAATAATGTAAACACAAAACAGATGGCACTGACTACATTTTACATTTGAACACGAGTGAAGTAGTGAATTCGGCATTTCTCACGGCGGCAAACACGAAGATCAGTCTTTCGGGATGAGAGACTGTGTAGTATGTTAGAAAGGCGTAGGCATTTCATAGAAACTTTCTGCTTCCATCTTCAGGTTCCTCCGAAACTTAGGTACAAAAATAAACGGTGTCACATCTTGGAGCTTCGTAGTATTAATAACGTAAAGGTGACATTCACGTATTACAATACTTATACAACTGATTATAAGTGAGTTTTGGAACAATATGTAAGTCCATATATTTTATTGTATTCACGTGTCATGGGAGGATAATATTGAAGTGGATCATAAAAATGGATGGGAGGGTATGGATTAGATTAATCTGGATTAGGATGGAGACCAGTGGCGGGATTTTGTGAACCTTCGGGTTTCATAAAATGCTAGTGATTTAATAACTAAGTCAGTAACTATTTGCATCTCAAGGGCCGCGCTATAGCTCAAGCGGTTAGTCGCTGGCTTCCCAACACGGCGGCCCGGGTTCGATCCCGGGGTCTGGTCAAGTGAGATTTGTGGTGGACAAAGCGGAGCTGGGGCAGGTTTTCTCCGAGTACTTCGGCTTCCCCTGCAAATCTTCATTCCACCAATTGCTCCACAATCACCCTCACCTATCATCTGGGGCTGGTACAATAGGCCGGAAGTGGCCGCAGTACAAGGGACTTAGTCCCACCCCACTAGCAATAAACAAAATTTGCTTCTCAAGAATTCTCAAGAAGGACGGAGCTCGACGGAGCTTCTGCCTGCATACTAATGGACGGATTGATTTATTTAACGACGCTTTCAGTAGCTAAGATTATATGCGGCGTCTGATAAGACTAGTGAATAATCAACTGGAAATAATACGGATTGAAGTGCTTGTGACCCAATTTATATCGGATATAAAGCCACGTTAAAACATCAGTCAGGGTAGCCGGTCTCCGGGCCAAGATTTGAACACGGAACCTTCCGAGCGAAGCAGGGGTGCTACCCACTCGACAGTGAAGTTCCGAGCCTTACTAACAGCTCCGATTTGGTTGTAAGGATTTTCATAAATTGAGATTCAGTCCAAATATGGTTAAACAGATTAGAAATTGGCATCAGGGCCTAATGTCTATTTAAATCATTATTTAAAGGGCATGTTCAACAAATTTAAGAAGCTACATTTTTTCTCTTTATACAACTCTTTTATTAACCGTCAAAACACAACAAATTTGTTGTGTCTTGACGGTTAATAAAAGAGTTGTATATTGTAACACAACAGGATGCACGAAATGAAAATTATTCTCATTACATAATTTGTTCTATTTATCCTGAAAATTTAATATTCCTGCTGAATTGTCGATTGGGAAATATATGAAACAACCGAAGCCACTAGTGGGAGGTATACTTGTGTTTTACACGAAGTAATGGGCACGCAGTAGCGTAGTTGGTTGAGGCACTATGCTACAAGCCGGAAGGTCGCGAATTCGATTCATGTTGAGGTCACTAGACTTTCAATTGACCTAATCCTTCCAGCCGCACTATGACTCTGGGGTCGACTCAGCTTCTAACGGAAATGAGTACAAGGAATATTCCTGGGGTTAAAGGGCGGCCGACGCGTAAGGCCGACAGCCTCACTGCCATCTGTGAGGCGATCGTCTAGAAAATGTAGGAGCCTCGACGTCTCACAACCCTACTTGCCTCCACGGCCTGTTCCAGGAATAGATTTAGTTGCATTACACACAGCTCCTTGCATCCAGGGCCGAGTAAGGTCATAGGTGAACGACGCGTTCGAATGTGGCGCAACGATTTCAAAAATGCATATTTTACAAACTCCTCCCGCTTTTACTTTCTGTTACATGAAAATTACTTTGTGCTGATCTTTTGTTCACAACGTGATCGTCAATTGGCAGCAATCTAAACACATTATGGAGCACTGTGGATGGATATGTGTCTAGGATCATGCCATCAATGAGGGATTTTCGTCACAGTGAATGGAAAATTTGTTATTAACTGTGGTGAAATTTTGAAAAGTTAGTGTTTTTAATCGAGGGAAATTTCTAGTTTCCTGGGGGGCATTTACGTTTGGATCGGCCTTGGTAATATGTATATACAAAAGTGGACTCAATGTACGTGAACCAAAAGCGTCTATTTGGATTTGGATTTGCCACGTTTGCCAGGTAAGTTACAACACAGACAATAGTATACTCAAATAGCATATATCCTGCTGTTGATTATCGTGCAGTATAGGCTAGTTCTGAGAAGACTTCAGGTTCACACACACTGGTACAGCATGAAACGAGGTGGGGAAATCATGAATGAGCACTAACAGTGCATTGTTTGGTTCTTGCTTTATTCAACGACCGTTTAGAACCTCCTAGAGACGGCCTCTGTGGTGTAGTGGTCAGAGTTCATGCCTACAGATCCAAAGGTCCCTGGTTCGATTCCCGCCGCTACCAGATTTTCTGAGTAGTGTGTCTGGAACGAGGTCCATTCAGCCTTGTGAGGATAACTGAGGAGCTATTTCAAGGAAAGAGCGGCTCTGGTCTAGAAAACAGATTAACGGCAGTGGGGATCCGTTGCGCTGATCACGCGACACCCTCTATCCGTTAAAGTTGTCACTAACTTCGCCGACAAGCGGCGGTCGCTCGGGCGGTATAGTTCAGAATTATTGAAAGTGCCAATAAATTTAACATAGTCCAGGAGGTATAGCGACAGGATATGACCAGGACGACCGGGGTTATATCCCCTGCAGAGGCAAGAGATTTTTCTCTACTCCACAGCGTCCAGACCAGCTCTGGGGCCCAGCCAGCCTCCTATGCAATGTATACCAGGGTTTCTTCCTTGGGGGCAGACAGGCCGGGCCATGAAGCTCACCACTCACCTTCACCTAGTGCAGAGGATCACTCCTCCATATTTATATTCATGGTGTGGTAGTGTTTAATTAAGCAGAGGGACAACTTCGAAGAAAAAATATACCCATATAACATGCCGCATGCTTTATGCTGGCTACTTGTTTGACTTAATCTTCAACCCTGAAAACTGAGGGGGTCATGTTCCTCCGAAACGGCGGTTTGAGTTAACGGAATACATGGGGTTACATCTCAGAAGGTAGGACCCTTGATACCCGTTCCTGTGGGACCGTAGAATCCTAACTAAATTTAATTTTGCAGGATATGAAGTTCTCATGGCGATGGTTTTGAATAGAAAGGGGGGGGGGCAAAGCTATCCCTGCAACAGGACATGGAGGCCCATACGGTTGTGAGACGTCGAGGTTCCCACATTTTCTAGACAGTCGGCTTATAGACGTCGGTGAGGTTGTCAGCCTTACACGCCGGCCACCCTTTACTTTAATGAAGATTCCTGGTACTGATTTCTGTTAGAGGCTGAGTCGACCCCAGGGCCATTGTGCGGCTGGAAGGATTAGGTAAATAGAAAAATCCGATGACCTCATAGGGAATCGAACTTGCGAGCCCCCTTTGAAGAGTAGTAGCGTACTATATTCTGAGATATTACGTCGTGTAGCCTGGTAGACGATTAACGACGTTTCGGAGTAACATCCATAAACTTTCAGCAGATTCCATAGCGTCACAGCCCATGAAGATAGTACTTTTCGGCGCTAAATTCCATCACAACGCGGACAGTAAGCGCATGCGCGTACTCGCTGACAAGTTATTCGGGCGTCCGGTCCCAGTTCTGAAAAGTATGCTGTAGGAATCTATTGGACAGGAATCGAGGTCAAGAGCGCTTTCCCCGACACAGGCAACGTGATACGTCAAGGTAAACTGTTGGGCTGTGGCTCTCATGTTTTGTCGGACCGCGGCCCCGGTACCGGGCCGCGGCCCGCCTGTTGAGAAACACTGCGTTTTTCCTTACGTCAGTCCTCACGGTTCAGATCTCTAAGCAAGCTAACGTTGCGATAATGTTGTAGACTTACACTTGAGAGATATTCGGTTTAGATCTGGGTTGGGTTATTGGTTATCCCAGCTGTGACATTTCCCTGTTTTCTCCGTAACTCCAGGATAATGCAGGGACGGTGAGGACCGTGTCTTCTAGCATCTTTATCTACTCGTTAGTAATGATAAGTGGCGATATATAGTCTAATCTTAGTGAATGATACGATGTCGTTGAATTCATTCATTCCTACTTTCATGGAGCTGAGCCCTTCTTGAGAATCCGCCAATTCTGCAGCTACTCAAGAACTTCCCAGCATTTTATGGAACCTGTAGGTTCATTACCGTTTTCACAAGAGCCCTTCTGAGCCAGATCAATCCAATCCATGCCATCTGATCCTATCTCTCTGAGATCCATTGTAATATTGTCCATCCACCTACGCATTGGTTTTCCCAGTGGTCTCTTTCCTTCTGGCTTTCCCACCAATGTCCTTTATGTATTCTTCTTCTCTTCCATTCGTGCTACATGCCCTGCCCATCTCATCTTCCTTGATTTGATCATTCTAATTATACTTTCCGAACGGTACGAACTATGTAGCTCCTCATTTTGCAGTTTCCTCCAACTTCCCGTCTCAAAGTCGTTATGTAGCGTGCGAATTATCAACTGAGATGACAACTAGCACTGATACTTGACGTTAAATTATTCGTTACTTTACGAAGGCATTTACTCTTAATCATACAAACTAAAAACTAAACTCAGTGGCTTTTAGTCCGCAATCGCGCTATACCGACCGAGCGACCGCCGCTTGTCGGCAAAGTTAGTGCCAACTTTTGCGGATAGAGCGTGTCGCGTGGTCAGTGCAACGGATTCCCATGGCCGTTAATCTCGGGCTTCTAGACCGGACTCTTAAGCCTATAGCATGGTGTTTATTTTCCAATCACACAACTGTTATACAGACATTACATTACTAGGTGCACGCATTTGTACATTATTATAGCAGACAGAGAATGTCGTAATCTTGAGTCCTATCTTCTGGGTAATCCGTTGATAGTCAACAGACGTTTCGGAGCAATATATCACCTCCATCTTCAAGGTCAAAGAATAAGCTTTGTCTTCCTACCTGTCCCATGCTGGTTTCTTGCTTGGCTTATTCTTCGACCCTGACAATGGAGGCGACATATTCTTCCGAAACATCGGTGGACTTTTCAACGGACAATACGGTGTTATGTCCCAGAAGTCACAACACTTCAAAACCCCCGTTATAAGAACCTCAAATCGTACAATGAGTTAACAAGCTCTTAGAACAGCTTATCATCAACATCAACATCATCATCATCATCATCACCATCAACCAGGAGGTAAAATCACAATTTGCACAGTCAAAGGTATTGTGGTTACAGGAAACACTACGACCCTGCAGTAATGTTGAAGTGTGACTTGAATGTCTTTTATTTTTGGCTCTTCAAAAGCAGAGGACACGAAGCGAGACTGCGCCAGTTCTAATGTTCGGTCAGTAGTTATCACAAATTCCATGTCTTGCAGGCTGTCTCTGCGCAATTCTTTTACTAAGGATGCGGTATAGAAGACAGAAGAAGGCTGGCAATTTGGGTGTGCAGCTACTCTGAAGATACTGAAACTTCGCGGAGTAAGTAATGTTTCTATGTTTTTTTAATGCTAGTGGGGTGGGACTAAGTCCCTTGTACTGCGGCCACTTCTGGCCTATTGTACCAGCAACAGATGCTAGGTGTGGGTGATGGTGGAGCAATTGGTGCAATGAAGATTGGCAGGGGAAACCGAAGAACTCGGAGAAGACCTGCCCCAGCGCCATTTTGTCCACCACAAATCCCATCTGACCAAACTCGGGATCGAACCCGGGCCGCCGCGGTGGGAAGCAAGCGACTAACCGCTTGAGCTATGGCGCGGCCATGTTTCTATATGGTACCCGGGCCAGGGAAAGAATGAATACAGCTGATGTCGGATCAAGTCGGCCGCACTAAATAGCACTCCAGTCTTTCGGTCAACAGCAATAATACGGAGGCAGAGAGCGTAGACAAAACGAACGCCATAACACAACTAACCACTGGTATGAGTGGGTAAAGGGCGGAGAGGGAACATAGCCGCTACGTAGAGGGATGGGGGGGGGGACTGCATTTATTCTTTCCCTGATCTGATTTTGGTTTCCCATGCCAAAATACAAACCAGTGGCTTCAAACTGCATGACAGTTCCAAGCATACATATTCGAGTTTACAGTTCTAGGAAGACTTGATTGATATGTTAATTTTGGGCATTACTTTGAATCTATTTTCTGCAGTCCAGTAGTTCATCAGGTAAGTTAAAAAACGTAAAGCTATCCCTGTAACAGGCCGTGGAGGACCATGGGATTCTGAGACGTCGAGGTTCCCACATTTTCTAGACAATCGGCTCATAGATGGCGGTGAGGTTATTAGCCTTTAACCCCAGGATGATTCCTGGTACTTATTTCTGTTAGAGGTTGAATCGACAACAGGGCCATATTGCGGCTGGAAGGATTAGGCCAACTGAAGATTCAATTACCTCATCTGGAATCGAACCCCCGACCTTCCGGCTTGTAGCATAGTACTTCAACCAACTGCGCTACCGCGTGCACCTGTAGTTCATAAGCCTTATGCTTTATACTGTGACGTATGGACCCATTGCTAGGCAACGACTCGGTAAAGACATTTCCACGGGACGTCTATTGCTAGGCAACGGATCAGTAAACATGCCGAAAACAATACGGAAGAATAGAAGATGGCGTTTTCCGTGGGGTCCACCTGGCAGCTATATAACGGAATCAGTTAGGTGTTGTCAGAAGTTAAGAGAGTTCAGTTGAAGAAGAGTTTATTTGAGTCTGTTGTTGTCAACAATTTGGTCGAGTTCTGGAGATGGCAGTCGAAGGTGACTGAGAAGAAAAGGCAGGAAAGAAATTAGACTGTGCAAAGAAAACTTCATGTGTGATTTGAAGTTACAGTGGGGCTGTTATAAATCCGTTGCCAGGATACGGGTACTGAAAACTGAGAACCCTAGTCATGTGCCCGCACCTGAAGATGGCACACATATTTCGAAGCATGCAGTCCTAGACAGAAACTACACCTGCTGAAAATAGTGTCGTGTTGACAGGAATAAATATTATCTACAATTTCAGAAAGAATATTAATTTACAATAATATTATTTAATGATTTGGCAAACCGTTCTCTGATAAAAAATCGAATCGAAGTTTACTAACCACCGTTCAATTTGAATCATCCCGTTATAGTTGAGCAATAAATGAATACAATGGGACAGGCTCTGAGGAGGTTACTGGAACGCTTATTGCAGACATTCTATTGTCTACTGATTTCTGAAATATTCGTTTCAAAATCTTTGCCTCCTGTAAAAACCACACAGTCTACACAAAGTATTGCGTACGTGACATATTTAAAATCGCTTAATTATTGATTCATACAGTTGACGTTCTATGCATCCGCTGTAAGAGTTATGGAGACATTAGTCAATGCTCATGCAATCGTACATTGCACGTAAGTGTCTGCGATTGGGCGGCACAACTGAAAGACGATAGAGAAAACTGATCGGTTGAAATGCTGCTTCGACCCATCTTGCCACGTAGACTTCGGGTGATGGGCACGCTGACCTGCATACAACAACTTTTGGGATGGGTTAATGTTTTATTCAACGACTCCTACTTAAAAACAAAAACCAAACTCCGTGGCCTGTAGTCCGCAAGCGAGCTACACCGACCGAGCGACCGCCGCTTGTCGGTGAAGTTAGTGCCAACTTCTGCGGATAGAGGGTGTCACGTGGTCAGCGCAACGGATCCCCACGGCTGTTAATCTCAGTTTTCTAGACCGGAGCCGCTACTTTTCCATTCAAGTAGCTCCTCACATTATCCTCACGAGGCTCAAGAAGCATGGACGGAGAAAATGAAAGAAAAATTAGCTGATCTTAAGCTTCGGCAACAAGAACTGAGCAACCAGAAATCTTCGTATCCCTTCAAATCAGAGTGGTAACCGCTGCTTTAATATTAATTAAATTAAATTAAATTAAATTCTGAACACAGTGCATTTATGGATGTCGTATGTTTCTCTGAAACATCAATAACGTTCCTAAGTTGCATTGAATATTTAATTTTTATAATCGAGACGCTGTGTGTTCTGGTATATTTTTAAACACTATTCAGATGAGCTTCAAAGGACTGAAATAGATTAAATATTCCAGTTCGTAAATTTCTGATGTTTTGTGAGAGTTTTTTTCTAACCATGTGGACCCTATGGAAAAATCCAGAATTGGCATGGAAGGCATTTGGAGTAAATGCCACGCAGAATAAGAAATCTTGCTTTTCAATTCTGTTCTGATGTCGAAATGTTACTTTACTCAGAACATGACGTAACAGCATCCAAACATGTGAACTGTATTCACGAATATCGCAATTTCGATGGTATTCTCCATACAGAATACTCAGAACTGTACACAAGGTCAAATACCTTGCCATCTTGACTCTAACCAGCATTTTACTTGCATTATTACGAATTTTGTTTTGGCTTAATTGCCATATTTGTCATTATTTTAATGGTGAAGCCAAAGTTGTCGCTATGCTTAACTAATTAAGCACTGCGCCATGAGGACGTATGGGGGAGTGGATGCATAGACCCACGTTTCTTTGACCTCGGTACTAACTGGAATTCAGTGGTCAGTTTCACGCCCCGGCCGCTTTACCCCAGGTACGCGCTGAATATGAGGTTGGGTGAACCCCAGAGCCGGTCCGGACTAAGCAGAGAAGAGAAAAATTCTTAATCTCCTACCGGGACTCGAACTCAGATCCCTCGGCCGTCAGCCCGTAGCCAGTCGCTACACCGACTGCGCTATCCCGGCTCAATACATCACTTTTACTGAACTCAACTCTTCTGTGGTTACTCGAACGTTTATTTTTCACCGTCCATAAAATTTAATTTCAAGTAAGTAAACGTAAAATTAATCAATATCTTCCTTGTTATACGAAACAGGAAATATACTTCCTATTGTGAAACCCTAATGCGACTTTTATGCTAAAACACTTTAGACTGTGCTCTATTACATAAAATCAACTGACCTTGGAAAGATTAATATTTTGGAACAGGGGATAAAATGAAGGGGAGTCAGATGTCCGGGATATGTAGCACGCACGGGGGATGAAGAATGCTTATACTCGTATATAATTTTAACTGAACGACCTAAATCGGGGAGCCTATTCGGGAGACCTAAGAGTAAATAGGACAATATTGAGGCGAATCTTAAAGAAATATTGTGAGGATGTGGATTGGTTTCATCTGGCTCAGGACTGCGACCAGCGACGTGTTGCTGTGAATAGAGCAATGACACTTTGGGTTCCATACAAGAAGGAAAAAATTGTTGACCAGCTGGAGAAATCTTGCATCCGAAAACCCGCATTAAGGAAACGCAAATATGCCCAGATACAGAATTGAATAATAATAATAATAATAATAATAATAATAATAAAGGTAAAGGTAATAAAAGTAAATAAAAGGGAAAAAGTCCCCATTGTCCATTGGATAGGATGTTGGGTGAACCCCAGAGTCAGTCTGGACGACGTGGAGAAGAGTAAATTCTTGACCCCACAGGGACTCGAACTCACACCCCTCGGTCGTCCAGCCCCTAGCCAGTCGCTATACCGACTGCGCTATTCCGGCTCCTTAATAATAATAAGAATAATAACAACAATAATAATATTCTCTGAGGCACCACCGTGGTAAACACACAGTTGTTGGCTTCGTAGAAAAAACCATGCCGCGTGACGAAAGCAAGGCGCAGTACGTGCGGTGAGGAGGGCGCAGAGCGGGTATTTGTAGGTCACAAGGAGTAAGAGACAGCCGAGATGCGTGTACAGAGTCAGGTAGGCAGGAAGGTACATCCCGTTTCCGTGAGACAAACTGACCTCAGCTCACACATAACGAGCATGGAGACAAAGCTGGGCCCCTACTGGACTCATTCTTGGGTCGACTGTTTCAGCAATGAAATACTGTACAGTGCGAAAAGGCGTATAAATTACGCTTGTCTGTCCGTTGTTACAACGCCGAAATGCAACATTTCTTTAACTACTACTTATCTCGAGAAATGCCCATTTAATGTATAAATATCTGTAACTTTAGACAAGGATTCCACCAAGGGAAACATTCTATGCAGAGCAACATGATTTGTAAGTCTTCAGAGTTGTGTAGGCAGAAACCGAAGTTTCGGAAGAACCTGCTGTATATTTCTTCTGGGTTTAAGATGTTTAGATTGTAGTCTTGTTGGTTTCGTGTAGGTGGACACCATGTTCTAGTAGGTTGTGTTCAAAGTGAATACCAATGTTTCGGAGAAACCTGCTATTTCCATGTTCAGGGTAGAAGACCTTCACACTATAGTCTCCTGGGTTCTGTTACCCCGGGAGAGCAGAACCAGACCTTGAAAGGAGTGATCTGAGGTTCACACAGCGGTGACTATGAAAAGTGCCATCTTCTGGGACGTGACGCCGTGTAATCCGATAAAGTTCACTGGGTTCCGGAGGAACGTACTGCCTCCATCTTCAGGTTCGAGAACAAAAAGCAGAGTTATTCTGTTAATCTTTGTTAAAAAGCACAACCGCACATCT